TTTGCGCTAAAAACCATATCACTTGCTAAGTTTAACCATTATCTCAGTTTTCTTTTTGTATTGAAACACGTGGCTGAGACAATGGTTAAACTTAGCAAGTGATATGGTTTTTAGAGCAAAACCACGATAGGAGAGCTACTTTTAGATGATAAATAGATCTTCATCGTAGCTAACTGGTCGTGTATTGAAGAAAAAATTGTCGAGTTGATGCCTATAAACGGACCGTTCCTTCATAAATAAAAACTACTATTTGTCTTCTACCTTCAAAAAAAAATTCAACTCATTTGGTTGAAGAGTCATGAAGATTTTGAAATTTTCTGCAACTCTAGTGACTTTCTGGACACCCTATATGTTCCCTCGTCAGTGCGTGGATTAAGTGAAATTCTTACAAATTGTTCCTAAATCTAGTCTAAATGAAAGCAAACATATTAATACGATAAAATCTTGAAAAATCTTAGACCTTTGTGTCTGACAATCCTATTAAGCTTTCTGAAAGATCTTAATAAAAATAAACGACATCTTAATAAGTTCTCGGCAAGATTTCGCTAAGATCTTGCAAATATCTGACTAAGTTTCCTACTAGATTTCACACTTCTCATCCTGAAATGTACGAAGTTGCACATTGGCTTCTTAAATCGAAATATGGTAACCGCTTGCTTTTCGTAAAAAGGTAGTCGTACAAGATACTCACCCTCATTTTCATTTCACTACACTCACAATGTTTGTTTGACTCTGTATCATAGTGAAACATGTTCAATTCATCCGCAGATCTTAGCCATAAACTCCGCTACTAAACTCATCAATATAAGGTTTAGTTCGTATTTTCCTTACACACGTCATTATTCCACAAAAAAGGTTCCGTCGAAATGCACGAATATCACAATTTGGAAACATCATACAATATAATTGGAAATAAATATAAAACGGCTATACGATATTCTTGTGCTTTCCACGAATTGCAACGTTGAATTGAGCGTGGTCGTCTGTGAAACTCATCTGGTAATCATCATCATTGTGTTCTGACAGAGGGCAGGTTCTAGGCACCCATGTTCTCCATTTCTGTCTTTCCATAGCTCTTCGTTTGATGTCCGCATATGAGTCCTCGTTTATAATATCATCCAATAACATAGCACGCGGCCTGCCTCTTCCACGTTTCCCGTAGAATCTGCCCTCCAGGACCACTCTCACCAGGCTTTCACCTCTTAGAATGTGTCCGATCCAATTTTTTTTCCTTTGCAAGATGACGTCCAAAATCCTCCGACACGATGGTAAAAACCGTAGATCGCTAGGACTTTTCCATAAAAAGTTATTCGAAAAACGCCACTCTGCACTGTATTTATGGATCGATAGTAGACATTTCAAATATTCAGAGGGATTCATTTTTATTTTATTCTGACTTTTTTTATTCTGACCACGGACTCATTGGCAACACTCCTAATACTGGGAGAATACTTACTAGAGTGGTCCTTGTTTCTAAACCCTCCACACATAGCACAGTTGTGTGGAGGACTTAGAAGGATACATGATTCAATCAAAAGAGTCACAAAGGAAATCGTTGGTGTTTTTCAACTATGATCAGGATATTTCTCCTAGTTTTTCCACCCTGTTCGAAGCCGGGCTAAATAGGACATCTGAGATAGGCATTGAAAAGAAAATGATGTAGTTTATCCAGAAGTTTGTTACATGTTCTTCTATGGTTTGGGAGAAAACTTCAGTTTCCAGCCAACCACATTACTACTTCTGGAAAAGATGATCCGATTCAGTTGAAAATTTGACCATAGATACTTCAGACTCTATCTCAGTTTCTAATGTTTTTATCCAAAAGTATGCTTTGCTTCCCAAAGTGTTTAAAAGATGCCGAAAATCCAGAACAGAAGATCACCTTTTATGTAGTAAGAGCAGCTGTATACAATATAATATGCAAATATATTGTTTTTGCTTCACTTATAACCCATTAAAAGCAACAGGTTACCTTTTGATTTTAAGAGACTTATCACTATTTAGCTAAATCGAAAGGGCTGCAAAGTTTTAGAAGCTGAAAAAGAGTCCGAAGCATTTGTAGTAAAAAATTTCAGCTCGAGCGGATATTTCTTTTTGCAGGGGCATAATGTAACTAGATTGAAGGCACTATTGCAAATATATATTGAGAAAAACACATTTTGTATGCAGGTAATTTTTTCAGGTAATTTCCGGCGATGCTGTATCTTCAGGAAAGTCACGAAAATTTTGGATTACGTCTCATTGTGAAGAGAACACTTTCTTCCATATTAGGCTATGTATCAGAAAAATTTTGAATGCATTAGGATGGGGGAAAAATTACGAAACTAAAAGTCTGATTTTCTTTAGGCTTTTAAGCAAATATACAACTATATACAACTATAACACATTCATGTCCGAATGTACGGCGATGTTTTTTTGCTCGTATTTTACAAGGAACACTAAAGTTAAATCCAAAGCGATAGAAAATGGAGCAGATTTGTACCTGTCGCTTTTTGAGAGTGACAACTATATTTGATTGCGAATAATGACTTGAAAGCTTTTTACTGTGCTTTGCTGAACGTTTTGCTTCACTTTTCCAAAAAAGGAATATGGGGTAGAACTTAAGAGGATTAATCTCAAGGGGGAAAAAGCATACTTCTGTACTTCTGGTACTTCTCCGTACTTCTGAAGTACGGAGAAGTACAAAAAAGTACGAAGAAGTATCAAGAAGTACGGAGAAGTACCAGAAGTACGCTTTTTCCCCCTTGATTAATCTCCATAATATTCCCGATATCTTTCGAATCTTAACCTGTCAGTGCTGTAAAGTTTGTTTTTGTGCCATTATACGTGTGAAAACGATATGTTTTATTTTGATGCTTAGCTGGCGAATGTTGTGGGTATTTATAATAAGTCTATTATCTATTTTCGAGCATTCAGTTAAATATAAAAAGTTTTATTCTATACGCTTAATCGAAATATATAGTCCAGGGACCAGTATCATCAAAAACTTAAGTACGATTTTCGACTTAAGTCAGACTTAATATTTTGCTTAACTTAGGAGACCGAATAACCCAAGTAAAAAATCTTGACTACAGATCTTGATTAAAACTTGAAAGATTTCTCAAGTTTCGGTGCAGTTCTTTCAAGATCTTATGCAGATTTATCGATATCTGTCAAGATTCTGAGATCATCTTGCAGTTCAAGATTGTCGACAAGTTTTGTTACAGAATCTGTCTTGAAAAAACTTGATCAAGATCTTGATCAGATTTGGGAAAATTTCTGAATGCATTTCCTAGAATCTTGAGCTGATTATGAGTTCCGATGAACGCTAAAAAGATCATCAGTGTGCTGAAAAAAGATAAATTTGTTAGTAGAAACACCGATTTATTTTTCGCCACTGCAGATATATTTATTCTCGCTAACAATTATTAGATTTAAAAAAGCAAAAAAGAACAAATTATATCAACAAATAACGCAGACATAAGAAATTGTCAGTATATTGAAGAGAAAGAAACTAATCATGTTCATACGTGGCTGAAACTGGTGAAATTAAGAAGTTTCCATCAAAACTACAAATAACAGATTTTCGCCAAATATTTTCCACTTTAATGGTATCCGTTTCAGATGATTCTTGCACAATGTAAAAAAAGTAATCTAGTACTTGTTGAAGTAGTGGTAAAAAACGTGACTGTTTCACATAGCATGATAGTGATTTAAATTTATTTAATTTTGTTATACTTGTATATATTCCACATTTACATTTGATAAAGAAATCAATATAGCCAAATTCACAAATATTTCTGTTATTAACATTGTAAGCAATTGTATAGTTGTTGACAGGGCCACGACGAGCATAACATCTTGCATGATATTGCACTCTTTGTAGTTTCATTCTTTGATAATACACAATTTTTTCTTTACATTTTCGACAAACATGTTCTTCAAATTGTCTGAATTGATCTGATAATCTGTCGGTCATTTCCTCTGCATTGTCTTCATCATATTTATTATTACTTTTCGCTTGTATCGATTTAATGGTAAGTTCCGTCTCGTAATGGTCAATAATTTGCTTTATTAAATAAGAAATTCCATGTCCATCTCTTTGATAAAATTGAATTCGCCCTTCTAACGGAAAACATGATGTTGAACTCAATGAACCATGTAACAAATATTCTTTTGAAACATGCAAAATCATTGTCGATAGTTTTTTACCATAATAATTATAAATTGCTTTTTCATAGGCTTTCAATAATATATTCGCTATATCTATCACATAATCGCAGTGTAATAAACGTATACTGCAAACGAATAATAGCACATGTCCATAGTGATCAATTGATAAAACATCATACAATATAATTGGAAATAAATATAAAACGGCTATACGATATTCTTGTGCTTTCCACGAATTGCAACGTTGAATTGAGCGTGGTCGTCTGTGAAACTCATCTGGTAATCATCATCATTGTGTTCTGACAGAGGGCAGGTTCTAGGCACCCATGTTCTCCATTTCTGTCTTTCCATAGCTCTTCGTTTGATGTCCGCATATGAGTCCTCGTTTATAATATCATCCAATAACATAGCACGCGGCCTGCCTCTTCCACGTTTCCCGTAGAATCTGCCCTCCAGGACCACTCTCACCAGGCTTTCACCTCTTAGAATGTGTCCGATCCAATTTTTTTTCCTTTGCAAGATGACGTCCAAAATCCTCCGACTTTCACCCGCTCTCGCCAGCACATATTCGTTCGTCTTGTGCTCTTG